AGCTCATCTAGATGCACAGCTAATACTATTCCGGGCTTAAGAAGTATGGGAAGTGACTAGAGGACAGTACTTATCACTATGACTCATTCTGTGACGGACTGACAGAATTCAAATGAGGAGGAGATTCTAAAGACCTTGCTGTACAGCACGGGCATGAGTTCTGACTGATTAATATTCCGGCTGTTCTTGCATCTCATCGCGTCCGGCTTAGCCGCTGAGCGCTGAGGCAGAATTTCCAAGCATCAAACTCGGAGAAACGCGTAGTTCCGTTCATATTGAACGCCTCCGTTTGTGTGATTCAATGGATCTCCAGGCTGGTGTATAAATAATCAGGTTGGGTACCATATTTTTGGATTCTATGATAAGCCAGCCTTTAAGAGCAAGAGCAGTCGTGATTATTTTGGCGCTAGGTAAGGGCTCGTCACTCGTGCTAGGAATTTTCCAAAGCTAGGACAGCCTCCGAGTTAGGGCTTCGCACCGTACCGTATACGGTATACGGCCGTATAGCCACGGTACAGTGACGGGCGACGGCTGGTCCGTATACCGTACCGTCAAGGCTCTCAGAACTAGGCTGACGGTACGGTACGGGTATATAGACGGCCGTAAGGTAGTGGGAAAATGTATTACTCGCCATATTTGACAGGTGCACCGGCCACCCGTGGGCAATGTATTTCGAAACATGAGCGGGTAGTAAAGGGATGAACAGGAGTAGGGCAGAGGCAGCAGAAGTAGGGAAGAGCAAGTATTTATGCCTGCCATAAGAAATAGAGCTTCATGTGAGCGAGCGAAACAAGAGCTAGCTGTAGCGTTGAAGAGATCGCAGTGCTAGCGCATCGTGGTACGATGTTGAGCACATGGTAAACACACATATAGCGTGCTCTGATGAGGGTTTATTTTTAGACAACCCACACGGCCGTCGAGTGCCGTATAACGGCCGTCTTTATACGGTTGTTAACGGGCGACGGGATATCCGTATACCGTCCGTGTCTGGGCAAAGTCTTTTGCCAGACGGAACGGATACGGTACCCGTATGACGGCACCCTAGTACAACCGTACTATACGGTGGACGGTGCGAAGCCCTACTCCGAGTCACGATCCCTCGGTAAGTTGACTATTCAATGCATTGTACATGAAGCCGGCTCGGGGGCACCATGCTAGAGTGTTCCCCATTTGCTAGCAGGCCCATAACGTACAGATCGACCAAGGAATGGATCTTCGGATACCAAGTATTTGTCCCTTCCCTTGGGAAGTAGTTTCGCAGATGAATCATATCGCTGTTTGTGTTGATGGTTGCATGGCGTCGATGACATCTGAATGTACGGAGGTCGTAGAAAACGTGAAAATTGCATATAAAGGAGTAACACACTGTAGATAGGCAAGATTCCGAAGAACTCCGGAGAAGACGGCTTGTGGGACATAAGCCATGGTCGCGGTAATGAGGATAGAGATGTTCTCGTTAAATATCCGGAGGGGCCATCCTATGGTCGTAATGGCACTTAGCAGCAGTAGAGAAACTGGGCGCTGACTGGCCCATCACCTGAGTGGCGCTGTTGTCATTTTTTTTTTCAAAGTTGTCGACTTGTGGCATGCAATTACAAAGTATGGCTATTTTCACAGTAAGAAACCTGTTTTCAGAATTGTTGATTGTGAGTACTCTGCATACTGCATGACGGGCTCTGGTAGACTCACTGATTTCAAGTTCCCTCTAGCGACTGGTGCCTGTCGGTGCGGTGCGTCGCGTCGGCGCGTGGGAAATCTTTAGTTACGGCAAGGCACGTGCCTCCTAAACCTTAATTTAGCACTTCCGCGTGCGCAGGCGCGCTGTCTCGCACCTTGGCACACACGGAGGCAAAGTACTTGACAACGCCTTCGGCGTACCTCAAAATTCTGTATCGAAAACTTGCCGTATTCTTGTCGTATATGCAACGATGACACACCCTGGTAACGGTCTCGTCTGTCAGAGAATTATTTATGCATAAATTCAGCATTCTCCGCGCGTTATCTTTCTGTGCTGACCGTATTTTGAATCAGGGTAATCGTCGATCACATAGATTGACATTCGGCCTATAATCAATATGCGTATTTGCTTCAAAAAATTTGCCGTGAGAAGCTTGACCTATCGCTCCTATGGCCAATACATTATAAAGGACTGGGCGTTGCCCGGATACGGGTTTACCCTTCGTTCTCTCACTTTTCCAACGATTTGCGGTCTCAGAATCATAGCTTCAATGACGGAGGAAGAACATCAACAGGCTGTCTTCTTTCTTGGTCCCTGGGTATGCGCTTGTTCGCAGCTGCGCATCTGCGGTTCCTGTTCTGACCGGCCGCCTGCGCATTCTGTAGCTCGTGGGTCTTTGCCTCGATTTATTCCTTCAGGGAATTTTGTCATCTCAGGTGAGCCGAGAGTTCGCACTTCCCCACGGTATGGTTGATAACGATTGTACAGTTCTCCAACTATTATTCATGGTATGGGAAGACGGATAGCATCAAGCTTAAAGTTGCTGTTGGAGTGCTGGCCATCGGCACATTTCTCAAATCTATCCAAGTCTGTGATATGTAACCCATATGTTCGTTATTCTTCCACTAACTTCTTGATGATAGAGCTTGTTTGTCCACGTCTTCATCTAAAGTAGAAATTAACAAGCTGATCGCATCTACAGTGCCATTGTATGGATCCAGTTGATCGAGAACTTCCTTGATCTGCAGACCGCAGTCAATCTGAGGTACGACGCAAATCCTCTTCGTTAGGTGTGTGTCCCCTGACGCGTCATGTTCAAGGTTCGTTACGTGGTACCAGATAGGTAGCGTCTCAAGTCGTCGTTTTCTGCTCATTCAACTTATGTGACACAGGCAACCCCTCTAATGGTTGCATTCATTGGTTTCTACGTTCAAATGTACTTTTGCTATCGGCTTTGGGTGGTGTCTAAGCTGTGGTGGGTCCCCCTTCCGATGATCTTCCTATTCCTGTTCGCTCTCATTGCCGCTATGGTGGTGGTAAGTTAACTATCCTTTTCGATAGTTCTTTCTGCTTTAATTAACCTATAAATTTCTAGACACACTATGTCGCAATATTCGACGCCAAATTGGCTAGCTGGTGTACGGTCTTCTTTATCATCGCGTGATAAGCTGAGCTGAGAAATGGCAATTCAAGTGTCCGCCCACTACGCCACCGTCTTTGGTATTCATCATTTGATATACGTCTCTTTGCTTCGCTGACGTTCCATATTTCATCAGTTGCCGATTTGTTATTATGTACAGCGACTGCCTACTTCCTTCTGAAGACGAAGAAGAACGTTCTGCCGCAGTACGTAACATTTTCAGGTGAAACTGAAATGTACTCACTTGGTCCTTTGCACAATAGAACGGTGGGGCTCATCAATGCACTTGTCCGTCTGACGTTCCAGACAGCGGCACCGGCTGTTCTTTGGTACGCCGCCGCTCCCTTCCCACTCCCATGAAATATCCATCAATGAACCGACTTTTCTCAGTGCCCTTCTCAACTTGATATTCGTGTATCTTCATAGCGACGAGACTAAGAGCATCTCGAACGCTTTTATCCAAGCTCTCCCCAAACTTTACGCCGTCAGCATGATGTGGACTCTGAATTCAAGGAGGAGTATCCGCGTTTCTCATGGAAGCGGAAAGAGCGGGAGCACTAGTAACGAACCTTCTGGGCCAAGGACGGATTATTCTCGCACTAGAAGGACCAGAGGACCGGATGATATCGCCATGGGTAATATTCAGGTTGTTACTCACACTGAAAACCGTCCGAGTAGGTTTCCCTGTCTTCGGCTTTACTACCAGGGATTACTAGTCACTCACGACCCGTTTTTAGGTTACCGATATGTTCGGCGATGACAATCAAGCGATGAATGGGAAGATAGGAAACGTCATTGATGATGAAGAGTCATTGAAGTCGTCTGTTCGCAAGAATTGAACGGCTTTTCCTCAAGAACATTTGGACTCTTCAACGTTCGATATCTGTTCAGTTGTACGCTGCTACACTGTGGCTTAATATATCCGATATTTATCTAGACAAGTACACCGGAAGCAAATGTTTTCTGTCCGCTTCAAGACGTTAACCTTTGATGATTGCGCATAGTCGAGATGGCTTCAGAAACGACATGGACCTGAGGAGACTCAACTTGATACAGTCAATTCTGCACTAGCATGTTCGACATTGAAGTTGCTAGACAGCCATAGACCAAAATAAATAAGAAATACAAGACACAACGGGAAAAGCTCAAACATCATCTACCGAAAACGACGTACCACCATCCCTCGATATGGAATCCATATATCGCCGCATCACAAAATCAGGGGGCATTTCCCCCTGCTGCACGCGTATCCGTTCTCTCGCTTCAAAAGCAGCCTTTTCACGTTCCTTATCCTTAGTCGATGCACCGATCAGTTCAGATGCAGTGTAGTACGGGACGTTGTGTGGGCGGCCATTCTGATGCGTCTTCCTTCCGTAGTCGTTCTCCATCCACTCAGACTCAGCTTCAGAATCCGAGGCAATCATTTCATCCATACTCATATCATTGTCACCGCCTCCAGTACTGTGATGGTGTTTATGCGAACACTGTTTACTAGTGTGTCGAGCTCTCCAAACAAGTTTCTCGAGATCGCGTGGCGTATTATCATCAAAGTGCCAGTCCGCCGCATTGACGACGAATTGAGTGATGTTGCTAGATATCCAGAAATAAGCCCGGAGCAAATCAGCTAGATTGAGGATGTTCAGTGCTCCGATGTCCCAGTGTCGCACGTATCCCTGATCATCCTGCAAGGCCAGTTTGAATAGGTTAAATTGAAATGAAGACTGCCGAGGCTTACTAGGGTACCAAGAAAAAATCTTAGGCTATAAGCATCACCATGCGTCGCACGGAAGCCCTGTAATGCCCATAAGATACTCCTGCGTGAAGCCAAGTAATCGTTGGTGCCGAAGAAGGGCGGCAAAATCCATGAGGATCTGGCGGTAAGCAACCTTCCTCATTGTTCGCCTTGAATTCGATCGCCAGCATACATAGGAAAATTCGGTAAACATGTGCCGCACGATCGCTAGAGCTAGTGGACCTCCTCCAGGATATTGTGATCGTTTGCAAACTTTTTAATAGCTCTCCTAGTTTGTTCGGGTAACATATAGGAAGCCTGACCAGTCGCTTATCATGTTCGGGGAGATACCGACCGGCGCATTTATAGAGTATGTTTTGCTCATCGAAGTCATTACTTCGTGGTCATATCTACAAAGGACATGATAAGCGCATATCGTTTATAGATTGTCATGAAACTCACCTTATAGTATCCGCCTCTTGCCTCTCCGCAACCTCTCTTACAATCTGTGTCAACAGACCATCTACAATACAGCGGGATGTGGCCTCATTGACACGGGGTTCCCTGCTGACAACGAAACAAAGGTTCTTCTGCAGATCTAAAAGCCCTCTCCATCCATCTCGGAGGTTATATTCGTCAACGTCCGATGTAAATTGTCCTTGGAATGACAGCAAGAGACCTTCAGCAAGCTCTTTCATCCTGGGAGTTTCATTGCTACTATCCTTGACTGAGATGAGGTCAGCCTAAGGATGAAAATACTGAGTTAGACGAATAAGTGGATAGATGGAACCTAGATTGACCTGTAGAGCTTTTGGGAGTTGGGGACGGAGGAGTTTTTCTGTTTGCTCCTCGATTGCAGGAGGCCTAACGGACGCGAGGAACGGATCTACCATGGCGGCATCAGCCCATCTCTCAAAAGTTCGCCCGGTGCCCGCTAATGACGACGGCGTAATAGATGATGGCATAGTTGGTAAGACCCTCTAAGACCTTTGCTCTTGTGTGGTCGACTATCGTCAGAG